TTCCAATAGGACCTTGACGGACATCGCGCTTCAGAAGCGAGCCGTAAAGGTCAGCACCGATCAACAAATGAATTTGATGTTGACTGGAAGGATCAGGGTCAGCAAAAGATAGACCCTGTAAATGAGGCCACGCATCGAAGGGCTGAATCCGCGAGGCAGCGTATGAAGTAATGCGTTGAAAAATGTAAGCCGTCAGAGGAAAGCTCGGATCGGCTTGAGCACACGGGGTTAACTGTAGTTTTACGCGCGATTTCGCAGTACCCGTGTATTTTTCGCCGAAGCATTTAATTTGTAAATCGGCTCGTTGCCGTTTAGTGCGCAACGCCTGTGAGAGCGATTCTGATATAAAGCTAAAAGTGGATCCTTGATCCAACAACGCGCGAACCTTTAAGCAGCGACCCTCCCCGGTGTGGAGGTCGACCCATGCGGTCGCCAAAAGGACATTTGGATGTTCCTGAAGCGAGGGGGGTACTATCTGGACGGCCGCAATCGTATTGACCGTTTGATTAGTAGTCGCATTAGATGCGGCTTGTGACGCAGATTCGGAGATAGTAGCCTCGGAACTGGCTAAGTTATCGGAGGCATTTTGATTTGCCGCTGAATGCAGCAATGTGTGATGCGAGCGACGACATTGTCTGCACCGATATTTGCTCGGGCATTTCGACGGGAAATGTCCGGACTTTAAGCAGTTAAAGCAGAGTTTATGCTGGCGCGCGAGAGCAAAGCGCTGTGAAGCTGATTTCTTCGCGTAGTCTTCGCATTTCGAAACGTGATGCTCACCGGAGCAACAAATACATTTAAAGGCAGTCACGTTGTTTACTGTTAAACGCGGTTTATCATTTTTCGAAAAACCGGAGTCCTTGCTTGAATCGGCAAAGTCCGACAATCCGCGTATACGGAGAGTTAAAAACTCATTAAGCTCCTGATAAGAAGAAGGCTCATTTCGTTTGATTCGCCTTAAATTCCATTCGGTACGTGTTCTCGCGCTAAACTTTTGTGTTATTGTATAAACAAGAAAGTCGTCCCATTGTTCTACGGGACGATCGAGATTTTTTAACGCGGCTAACGATGCAGACACTGTGTCGCGCAATTTTCGCAAATCGCTGACAATCTCGCTTTTCATTACCGGAAGGCTAATAAACGCGTGTAAATGAGCATAGATTAACGTCTGCTTATCGTCGTATTCATTGGTTAACAATTGCCAGGCAGATTCGTAATTCGCATCGGAAATTTTTAAATTATTGATCAGCAAGGAAGCGTCTCCCGTTACGCTCGTTTTTAAGTAATGAAATTTTTGTGAATTTGAAAGAGCGTCGTTACTTACTACAAGAGATTCGAAAATGTTTCGGAAATTTTCCCAATCGGTTAATTTCCCAGAAAACTTTGGCAGCGCGATGCGTGGCAATTGGAAGCAATGATTATTTGTTTCGCGAACGGAGGAATCGGAACTACGATCGGTAAACGGAATTGTATTAGGAGATAATCGACTTATCGTATCTTGCAGCAGATCGGCCGTGTCGATGTAGACATCCTCAGCTCTCAGGAACTCTTCCAGAGTGAAATACGGCAAGGTCGTTTGCTGCTCCGTGGTCGTCTTTTGAAGCAGTTTGACATGAAGGCCGCGGCAGGCGGCCCAGTGCTCCTCCAACTTGGCAAGCCTACTTCGCGTCTTGGCGAGTGTCACGTTGGATTTGGCCAGCTTCTTGAAGTTGACGAGATCTCGTTTGATCTCGTCAATACAAGCTCCCTGCTCGATGAGCAGGTCACTCACGACAGTCGACATGATTATCGATGCCGGATTGTTGAATCGTTTATCGATTATTCGCTACTGAAGCGAAATCTTCAAGCGCGCGCGCGGACTTGAAGCGCCCGCTGATTGACGCGCGCGAGAGAGAGAGAGAGAGAGAGTCCGAGCGCGAGCTAGCGCACCGTCTCGTTAAGCCGTTATCGGCTGTCTTTCTCACACGAAGCGATTGCGTGGCGCGTGATAGCGGCGTCGAAATTGCAAATCGCGTGGTTTTTTAAATCTTAGAAACGTCGAAAATCACCGGGATGATCGAGAGAGTCAAGAGAGATGCACGACGCGGACGCGTGATAGCGGCGTCGAAATAGCGAGTCGCGCACCTTTTTAAATGTTTAGAAACGTCGAAAATCACCAAGATAATCGAGAGAGTCACAGAGAGATGCACGACGCGGACGCGTGATAGCGGCGTCGAAATAGCAAGTCGCGCACCTTTTAAAATGTTTAGAAACGTCGAAAATCACCAAGATGATCGAGAGAGTCACAGAGAGATGCACGACGCGTACGCGTGATAGCGGCGTTCGCGGTCGTTTACACTGCGGTCTGCGAGAGTCAAAAGTCAGTGAGAAAAATGCACTGGTTAAGATTCACCGGTGCGGTGCGCGTGATAGCGGCGCACGTTCACTGAGAGTCACTGTTAATCAGTACGAGTCACGATTAATCATTGAGAGTCACTGCGAATACCGTAACGCAAAGCGCGTGCTTGCGGCGCTTGCGGATAACTCGCGAATGTTCACCGCACTCAATTAAAAATCACTGGCGCGTGATAGCGGCGCCGGAGTTGGGAGTCACTGATCGCGAGTAGCGGAGTACACGTGCAGTCACTAATCTCGAACGGCGTTTAACTGCCGTCCGAATGCAGATTGCAAAGCGCGTGATAGCGGCGCTTGCACTGCAAGTGACACTTCAACGTCGAAATTCTGTCTACTCAAATGCAGAATTCGATGTACACCGGGTACGTGAGGGCGCGTGACCGTCACGTGGCCGGAGCGCCGCGGCTTAGGCGAGCGGTTTTTAATATCCGGCTCGAAGGACCATTTTTATATGTATAAGATTTAACGTTGTAGGATGCCGGGTTAACGTGATCAAATAATTGTACGCGTTTTGAAACGGTTTAATTTAGTTTATTCACTTTCTACAAGTTCGTCGCGTACCTAGACTTATGTTTCTCGGCGCTCGCTCTCTCGAGGACTGACTCGAGGGCTGCGCGAATTTCGGAGCTCGCGTAGGGCGGCAGCCGATCGGGGTCCTCGATTGGACCATCGGAAAATCAGGCGATGTACACACGCCAATTAGCGGCGAGTGTACACGTTGGTTTCACGTGTTTCCTTGGCGTAAACACTAAGGAATTTAACAAAAAACATTCTAGAAAATTCGATCGTCCTCGAGGATTCGATCCGAAGAACGAATCTTCAACAACAATGTTGATAAACAAACGCCTTTAAGCCAGCGTGTACAAATTAAGAATTTAACAAGGCTCTGTAATATAAATATAAATATAAATTGAGAGTGTCAAACAGGCAATAAGAGCCAAATCGCGGATGACAGTGCGTTGTGTTGACAGTATTTTGAATTGTAGTTGCTCAGTGTTTCATGTCGACACGCTAGGATATTAAGAAAAAAAACAAATTAAGAGAGGAAAAATAATATTAATCAATATATCTCTCTTGCATTCCATTACACGCACGAATGAGCAGGGATACATGACGAAAAATAATGTTCGTCGCATTAATTGAATACACCAGCAATCTCGGAATACTCGGCCGCATTTTTGATCATATTATTCCCCAACGGAATATGGACCGTCCGTTCTTTACATCACTCGATTGAACCAATATTTTTCAGCGCATCGGTTATTTCATTACTTCCGCTCAAACAATATTTCAAGAAATAAAATATCCAAAAATAAATATCATGTTAGACAAGAGCCTGTAACATAAAGTTACATGAACGACGTAATGAATTTATTTTATATCTTAACAAAATGTAATACGTTTTTATGCAAAAAGGCTGTTTTCACTGCTTTTATATAATTATTTTAATTGCATAAAAATAAAGTGAGAATAAAGAAATTTCAAGAAGAAAGGAAACAATGACGAAGAAATGCTTCCGGCATCGTTATTAAAATGTGATATACTCCCTACAATTATATATAGCTAATTACAATTACGAATCATTTGATCACTTTCTAGTTACATATGTTAAAGGTACATCTTTCCCTTCGAAGTTTTTGGGATCAAAATTGCGGCGCGATATTACATGAATTCATACAAAGCGAAGGAGATGCTCGCGAAACTTGGTTAATTAGAAAATTTATGCGGCGCTTGCGGCATCATTATCCGTATAAGAGATCATCATAACGAGAGAGAGAGATCACTCGAGAAGTTTGAAATTTTGACGGTTCATTTGCTCTTTCCGTCAGTCGCTCCTCTCTCGAGGCAACGAACGTTGTAATAATACCAAATATTTTTGGACGAGGTATGTCGAGGATTTCCTAAATAGTTATGACCGGCTGGTGGCTGAGTTACCGCATTAGGATATTTTAAGCGGAAGGAATCGGGATCCGTTCGACCAGGAATTTCGCCGCGTTCAGCGCTAATTTCGGGCAACTGCACCGCGAAATACTTTTGCCTGTCCCTCCTTCTCTGCGAGCTCGAAACAGTCCGGAATTCACACAACGGTGACACAACGTTACGTCTGGCCGTCTATAAAAAAGGATTGCAGTACATGGGCACGTGCATGCATCGAGTGCCAGCGAGCGAAAATTACACGCCACGTAAAATCACCGAGAGGCATTTTTGAGTTACCGAGTCAAAGATTTGAGCATGTGCACATGGACATTATTAATATGCCGATATCGGACGGAAACAAATATTGTTTGACCTGCATCGACCGATTCACGTGCTGGCCGGAGGCGTTTCCTATGGAGAACCAGGAGGCAGAGACAGTCGCGAGGACGTTCTACCACGGCTGGATAAGCAGATTCGGCGTGCCGTTGAGGATAACAACCGATCAGGGACGGCAATTCGAGGCGCACCTCTTCAAGGAGTTGAGCGGATTGCTTGGATCTAACCACCTGAGGACGACTGCCTATCACCCCCAAGCCAACGGCATGGTAGAACGATGGCACCGCCAATTGAAAGCGTCAATCAAGTGCCATTAGAAGGACCGGTGGACGGATGTGCTGCCGACGGTTCTGATGGGCATAAGAGCGGCGTGGAAGGACGATCTGAAGGCGACGGCGGCCGAGCTGGTATATGGAGAGACGCTCAGACTGCCAGGACAATTTTTGAATAAGCAGCTCGGCGAGGAGAGAGACGCCAGCAATTTCGTGGAGGAGTTGCGACGTCATTTCGAGGAGGTCCGGCCGATCGAGATCACGCAGCACGGAGAACGACGCCCGTTCGTATTCAAGCAGCTGGGAACCACGGAGAGCGTGTTTGTTCGGCACGACGGGCCGAAAACACAGTTGCAGATGCCATACGATGGGCCCTACACGGTGGTTCGACGCGGCGAAAAAACCTTTGTCGTGCGCATGCACGGCAAAGAGCAAACAATATCCATCGACCGTTTAAAACCAGCATATTTAATTTCAGAAAAACAGGCTAACGAAACGTCGCCGACGGCAAGGACTCCTGGAGACAAAGAAATGAGACTGGACCCGGAGCAGTCGAATAAGGTGCAGCCAGCAAAGGAAGGACGAGAGACACGAACGAAGAGCGGTCGAAGGGTCCGATTTCCGGACCGATATACGATGTAACGCGGCGTGTCGGACAAAATTTTTAATTTATATTGTTATTTATTTATTTATTTTTTTTTATTATCTCTCCACGCGAGATTATACATTGACGCGGTGACTAATGACGACTCGAATCGACGAATAGGCGGTGATTAAATAATTGTGCATCAACACGCGGTAAAAATTAAAAAACCACTAGAAGGGGGGCACTGTGGCGATAAATGCCACAAGAATATTAAAATATATAAAAATAAAAAATGTACACAAAATAAAATATATGACAAGCGACGAGTGTTAAGGATATCGCGACCGGTGACACAAAATAATAAATAAATAAATAAGCGTCTAGCATGACGAAGGTAGATTATGATTTCCGAATAGAATAAAAAGCGAAAGTCTTCAAAATAATAGATAGACTAATCACCTAAAAATAAAAATAAGGTCGTGGAAAAATCGAGAGAAGCAAGACAATACGCGGCCTCGAAGGGCAGATAGATTTTGACTCGCGCTCGCGATACACGGTTTTCCTCGGTGGAGAGTTAAAGTCTGTATTTGATAATCCGAATAAACGCAGTAAAAGACAATATAATTATAACACCTATATTAACTATTCCGTCTCAACGATCCTCTCCCGATTCGCGATATTGACAGAACAATAATTAACGAACTAAATTACACGCACGCCCAAACCTTGTATGCCACCAGCACAGCCCTCGCTCCGTAAGCAGTAGTGAAGATGATCGAAATATTATCGATAATAATAAGATCTGGTTTAATCTTTAGATTCTCATTGAAGTATAGATTCATATGTTCCATATTGATTTGAAACTGATGCCACGTGTTGACGTCAAAACAAATTCCTTCGGCGTAATTGCCCGTTAATTTAACAATCGGCGTGAAGCCGCCATCGTTCTTCGACTGCAATCCAACATGTATCTTCTTGTGTGAGAAGAATTAAGTCCGTACGTCGTCGATAACAATAAATAACGTTGTTCGTGGCTTCTGGCGTTATCGATGTCGATGCCGTCGTTGTTAGCTATCTTGCGAATATTGCGATTGCGATTGAATTTCGCAAAGCCGGGTACTTCCTTACGCGTAACCATTGTTTTCACTTGTAAAACTTCACTAATAGTCAGGACAACCCGGTAAAATGGCAAAACTGCGAGGAATTCTTTCTTCGTACCTTGAACTTGTATTTCTGCACACTCAAACTCGAATAAATGCGGAAGAATGGCTTGTCGACTCGCTTATATTGCCGTTCTCCCTCTCTTCCGCAAAAATTAAAAAAATAAAAGTGGGGAAGACGTATTTTACGTGAAAAATCATGATTTTTCATGTTCAGTCCTGTACGCGTTAAATAAAAAATTTCTAGAAATATTTAGAAATTTCTAGAAACGAGGTCATGTAACGCGAGAAGAGGACAAAAGAAAAATCTGTGTATGTAAGTGAATAAACGAAAAATCAATTTTTCATGTCAAATTAAATTCTTATGTTTAAACAAACATGTATTAAACAAAAAGAAAACGCTCGGGAGATTTGATTTGAAAATATTTTTTATCTTTTTAAAATATAGCAAGGGATTTACGAGTTCGAGAACGCTTGAATAGGATAAAAATTGGAGTATCAATAAACTTTGTCAAAAAAACAGGTCTGAGATTTAATATTATACATGCACCGAAATATGACGGAATAAAAAATCAATCCTTTTGATTTTTTGTAGTTTATTGTATCTCGTAAAATAAAAAATAAATTATGTTTTACGATTTTCCAAACTGCACTGAGAAAATAGTTGTAAAACTTAATAACACCATCTGAAATATTTGCCAGAAAGGAAATTGACGCTCGCCAATTGTTCAGGAATAAGCATAATTTTAAAGTATATGTCGTCCAATTCGCTGTTTATGTTATTGTTTGACATTTCAGTTATTATTCGCGCCAATGCGGGACAACACGTCAAACGCACATGTTATTCACGTGTTACTCGCCTGTCTTTCCTTTGCGCGACGCGAATCGCCTGCGCGAATCCCCCAAAATTCTTGCTTCGCGCTTTTGCTACGTGTCTCGAACATTATTGGGCTTCCAGCCACGAGACGATACAAATCGATACACACAGTTTTTTGAAATATCGTCCGCCTCACTTCTAACGCATTCATTATAATTTTGTGACTCGGATAATAAAGATCCTATTTAAACGAGTACGCGAGTGATTATTGAGAAAATTACCGCCTTGATGTGCGAACCTTATATACAAGATTTTTACCAACGAAATCAAAACACCAATGAAATAACTAAAAATTTTCTGTCACGTCTATTTGTGAAGAAAAAAGCACATTCCGAATGGCACCTCCTATTTTTATTACATATTCTTGTAGCTGACCTCGAGAACTTTCCAAAACACTATAATCAAATGTTTTCCCATTGCGTACTTTTTGAGTTAAAAAGCTCGAAAGTTACTACATTTTGATAAAAATACAAAAATTATATATATATATATATATATTTCTTAAAATATTCATTTTCCGATAGTTTTATTTTACATGCTCCGACCAATCAGGGCAAAGTCTAAGCATGATCCAGCTAATCAAGACGATCCAAACACGATCCAGCCAGTCAAAGCAAAATACGAACACGATCCATCCAGTAAAGGTAAGATACAAACACGATCCAGCCAGCCAAAGCAAGATCTGGACACGATCCATCCAATAAAGGCAAGATACAAACACAATCCAGCTAGTCAAGGCAAGATACAAACACGGATCCAGCCAGTCAAGGTAAGATACAAACACGATCCAGCCAGTCAAGGCAAGATACGAACACGATCCAGCCAGTCAAGGCAAGATACAAACACGGATCCAGCCAGTCAAGGCAAGATACAAACACGGATCCAGCCAGTCAAGACAAAATACGAACATGATCCAGCCAGTCAAAGCAAGATCGTTGATGGTTCTGTCAACTAAAGTAAGATCAAGAAGAATCCTGCCATCGAAGGCAAAATCAAGAATGATCCAGTCAAAAAAAATTTATCGAATCAATTGTTCAAAGTTGTCTCCATTGGCTTGGATACATAATGCCAACCTATCTTGGAAATGTCTTACTGTCTTGAGTAACATATCGCGCGTTATCCTTCTGCAAGCTTTTCGTATCCTTTCTATCATATTTTCTATCGTTGTAGGCGTTTGCTCGTACACAACATTTTTCAGATATCCTCATAAGAAAAGTCGGGTGACGTCAGATCAGCAGATTGTAATAATCTTACAGGGACATAGAGGCATACGATAATAATGCACAAATGGTTACTATACTGACTAAAGGAAAAATTTGTATACAATTAATTCGAGTGAACCAGGAGATTACGTAGGTTTATCATTTGATTCGCCGAATTTATCGCACGGCCCTGCGGGATTATCCTTTTGTCCGGTGCGCAATTTGACTCACGAGGATATTTGGGAACTCGTGACCGCGGTAGCACAGAGCGCGGCAGGACTTGATATCGCGGAGCAATTTAACATACGCATTTTCAACATCGCTGTTCTTTCAGGTCGCGGCCGCGTTGCATTAACGTAAGAAAATATCGCGAAACGCTCAATAGTCGAAATAAATAATTTCGACAACTTGTGTTTTCCGCGCTCCCTCGTAGTAACGCAAACTTATTGCAAACGCGGTAATATACGTACGGGGGAATTGTACGAGAAATGGAATAAAGTAAGACACCCGCAATCGAAATTACAACGCGAATGGGCGTTGGAATTAACTAGAAAGCCGGAGTAATAATTCTCGAAGAGGGTTGCGGGATTCATGAAATTGAGCGTTTTCAGCGATATCTCGCCGCGGTCAATGTCGCTTCATATCGTTGTATATAATTTTACTACTTTTGGTCACGGCGCGAAACCGTACTATAACGGTACAGCAATACTCGCTTTTCTCGGGCGTGAATTCTCTCATCGACTAAATATTATGTATTATAAGAATTCACGCCATTTCAACTCTATATTAAATTTAAAAGCCGCTGCGGGTTCTCGTAATTTTTGTGTAACGTGTAATGTAGGCTTCCGGAACGATAGAGGTAGCGATCACCAATACTCGAATAAATGTCCGCGATGTTTTACCGCGCTGCCGTGCAAACACTCCGACGACGCGCGAATAGTAAAATGTGACGCGTGCGTTCGGACGTTTTTCAGTCAGCGTGGCCAGTGGTCCTTGAATCCTTGAAAATCGGGAAAGTACCGGGAATTTAAAATTGCCTTAAAAACGGGAAAAGACCTAGAATTTACTTTGAAAACCGTGATTTTTTCAAACGTATCATTTTTTAATTGCTATTGATTAAAACATTGAAATAACTCTTAATTAATTTTCTGTTGAAGCTTTATAAGTGCACTTTAAATAAACGCGCGTTCATCTTTCCTCCCCTCTCTTTCCCCACGGTGCTATTCGGCGTATCGTTCTAATAATGTTCGCGGTCCGCGAGTCCGGTGGGCTCGTCGCAGTGATGACAGGTTTTCTCTCTCGCACATGTGCGCGCCGTGCATGCGCGAACGAGAAACCCATCCTGTCTCACATCACTGGCTCGTCGCGAAAAGAGTCCGCGGAGAGAGGATCGTATCTTTACCGAGAATCATTTGGCGCGCCATGTTTCGCGCTGTTTTTGTCTAAACAAATGAACAAGTCGAAAATCTAGAATGTAACGGTCGGTAGTTTCTCATATGTGATTCTCAGTGCAATACCTATAGATTAATAAGAATGATTATAGAATAATAGGAGTGATTTATTCGTTGTCTTCTAACAGCAGGTAATATATTATTATCTAAATAAAATTTATATATATAAGATCATTTTTACGAAGAAATATCGGAAAAATAATGATATTGTAAAATTGTTAAATAACGAAATTACAATTTAAAGAAAAAATTTCAATATTTAAACTTTTTTTAAATCGTGTATATTTTTGAATAAGCCAATTTATATTATTTATTAATATATTATTATTTTATTATTAAAACTATTACAGAATGATTGAATCAACA